GAAAATCAATCAGTATATTACATATGAAGGAAAAGAAACCACACAGTCATCTGAATTGATGAAGAAAAGGCAATTGACAAAGTTCAACACTCATTTATAATAAAAATACTCAACAAATAAGGCATAAGAGACAATTTCCTCAACATGGTAAAGGCTATATAAGAAAACTCACTACTAGTATCATACTCACTAGTGATAGTTTGAAAACTTTCCTCCTAAGATCAGGAACAAATAGGGATGCCCACTTTTGGTACTTATGTTCAATATAGTACTTGAAATTCTAGCCAGAACAATTAGGCAAGAAAAAGAAATAAGAGCCATTCAAATTTGAAAAGAAGAAGTAAAATCATCTCTGTTTACAAGATGACATGATCTTATATATAGAAAACCCTAAGGTTTCACACACACACACACACTCACACAAACACACTCACAGAGAGCTAATAAGCAAAGTTTAGGAAACAAAATTAACACACAAAAATAAATTACATTTCTATACGCTAACAATGAACAATCCAAAAAGGGAAATAAAGAAAACAATTGCATTTAAAATAGCATCAAAAAGATTAAATACTAAGGAATAAATTTAGCCAAGGAGTCAAAAGACTTATACACTGAAAATTATAAAACATTGCTATAGGAAATTAAGGAAGATATAAATAAGTGGAAAGACATCCTGTGTTTATGGTTTATAAGTCTGAATACTATGAAGATGATAATACTACTCAAAGCAATCTACAGATGCTAAGTGATCCCTGTCAACATCCCAATAGTGGTTTTTTTGCAAAATAGAAATGCTTATCCTAAAATTCATATGAAATGTCAAGGGGTCTCATATAGCTGAAACAATCTAGAAAAAAAACAGAAATTTGGAGCTTTCACATTTCCGGATTTCAAAACTTACTATGAAGCTACAACAAAAGCAAAACAGTGCAGTACTGGTGTAAGAATAGACATATACACCAAAGGAATAGAATAGAAAGTCCAGAAATAAACCCTTGCATATACAGTCAATTGAAACCCAACAAGGGTTTGAAGAACATAGAAAGGGAAAAGGACAGTCTTCCCAACAAAGCGTGCTGAGAAAATTGGTATCCATGTATAAATGAATGACGTTGAACCCTTACTTTATACCATATACAAAAATTAACTCAAATTTGATCAAAGACCTAAATGTAAGAACTAAAACTATAAAACTCTTAAAAGAAAATATCAGGAAAAAGCTTCATGATCTTGGATTTAGCAATGGTTTCTTGGATATAATGCCCAAATCCCAGGCATCAAAAAAAGAAAATACATAAATAGAATTTTATCAAAATTGAAAACTTTTGTGCATCGAAGGACACTATCAAGTGAGTGAAAAGACAACCCAAAGAATGAGAGAAAATATTTATAAATCCTATATCTGATAAGAGATTAATATCCAGAATACATAAGCTCCTACATGTCAACAACAAAAACCAAACAACCAGATTTAAAAATGGGCAAAGGATTAGAATAGACATTTCTCCAAAGAATATATACAAATGTCCAATGAGCATGTGAAAAGATGCTGAACATCACTCATCATTAGGGAAATGCAAATCAAAACCACAATGAGTTATCGGTTTACACTCATTAGGATGACATTTATCAAACAAACAGAAAATGGCAAATGTTGGTGAGGATGTGGAGAAACTGGAACCGTCATACACTGCTGGTGGGAATGTAAAATGGTGCAGCCCCTGTAGAAAACAGTTTGGTGGTTCCTCAAACAGTTGAACGTAGAATTACCATATGATCCAGCAATTCTGCTCCTAGATATATACCCAAACGAACTAAAAGCAGGGACCCCGACAGATATTTGTACACTTACGTTTGTAGCAGCGTTATTCACAATAGCCAAAAGTTAGAAGCAACTCAAGTGTCCATCAACAAACAAATGGATAAACAAAATGTGGTGTGTACATACAATGGAATATTGTTAATATTCAGCCTTAAAAAGGAAAGAAATGCTGACACACGTTACAGCGTCAATGCTGATTGAAATAAGCCTGCCACAAAGGACAAATGCTGTAAGATTTCAGTTATACAAGGTGTCATACCTGGAGTGGTCAAATGGGCAGAGACTGAAAGGAGAATGGTGGTTGCCAGGGGCCGGGACGAGGGAGCACGGGGAGTTAGTGTCTACTGGGTACAGAAGGGCACGCTGGGCTTGCTCCACCAGATTGTAAAAATTTTAACTCGATTCTACTTAAGAATTCCCAGTCGTACATCCCGGTGGCTGGGGCTGTGTTGGCGCCATAGGGCCCACCAGGTGCGGGAGCCGGACCCTCGCGCCTGCACGTGTCGCAGTAGATCCCCTTCACCCTGCCCACAGGGCCCTCGCGGTCTTCCTCTTTCTCCTGCTGCTCCCTTTCCTCTCTCATCTTCCTCAACCCCAAATCTCAGCGATATCTTTCCAGTGTGAGAGGCCCTGCTTTTCCACCTGTCTCTAGGGAAAGTGTTTTGTTTACACCCACAAATCCTCTCCCTTTCTGGGGCTTAGGCTTCTGGAAAGAAGTTTCAGGAAAGTTTAAGCCCATCTCGTCTTCCTCCCCGGGCAGTGCCGCCTGAGGGCGAGGGGCTCAGCGCCCTCCCGCTGCCCGAGTGTGGGGAAGGGGAGGGGACAGGACCTTCACACGAGTGAGGGCTGCTGCCCACCCACACCGTCCTGCTGCACGAAGGACGGGACTGCACTCTAGCAAGGGAAATGACATGCCCAAGGCCATCAACCAGCAGGTGTCACCATGCAAGGCCATTGGTCTCCCGATGCCTAAGCAGGGAGCCTTCTGCTGCAGCCACCAGCCTGGGGCTGAGGACAGCCAGCCTGTGGTCCTCTCTGGTTCCCGTCCCCCATGCCGTGAGCCTAGGAAAGCACAGCGACCTGTCTCTGCCTTCCAGGCCCTGCGGGCGGCTGTCCTGCAGCTGTGCGAGCCCCCCAGCTAGTTCCACACAGCTGCCCACGGCGCCTGCAGAGTTGGCTGACGTCTGCTTCAGCGACACATGTGCGTTCACACTGACCTTACAGAGTGAAAGTCTTTCCAGCCAGGAGGCTGGGACGGAACCTGGTCTGCAATGACACATTGGAGCCCATGGGTGTGGAGAGTCCTGTTTCTGCTTCTTGTTAGAACCAGGACCAGAAGCGTGGGTCCAGGCAGGGCATACTCCACCCCCGCGGCTCCATCTCATCTTTCCTCTAAGACGTTGAGGCCACTGTTTAAAAAATCTGAACAACAAAATAACAAAACAAAACCCTCCTCCGTCATCCCAGTACAGCGTGTTCACTGCCCACCTTTGGGGAGCACAGGTGCATATAAAGAAGAGAAGCAATCACTCTGCCCCTGCGCCACCCACCTGCCCCGTGACCTCTCCTTGTTTCATATGGAGCCCGAGTCCCACTCCACGGGCTTTCTTCCTGCTCAAGTGGGGCCAGACCCTGCGGAAAGTGGCCTGCCCTGGTGGTCCTGGGGCTCTCTGGGGCATGCTTCTCATGTGCTGGAGTCCAGATGTCACCACACGGTGACGTGGTTTGTTCTTTCCACTGCCCCAGATTCCCTGGCCCTTTGTCACCCAGGCTGGATGCTGCCGTTCCTACAACATGCCATCATCCTTGTCAGAGTGACCATTGCATCCTCTGGGTACATGTTCTGAAATATGATGTATTAATAGAAAAAGTTCAGGCATAGTGAGGCCAATAGATCAGGAGACAACGGCCATTAAACAGAGTTTATTACTCACAGTTCCCAAGACCTGTTCTACAGGCCACACGGGAAAGGACCAGGGCTGGCCAGGAGGCAGAGGGAGCAGAGGGAGCAAGGGGACAACATGGGCAAGGGCATTGAATGAGATTTCTGGGGGAAGGACAGGGCAGGCAGGGCAAGCAAATTTAGGATTAAATCATTTCAGGGCTCTGGGACACAGGGGCTTCCCTTAGTTGTCTGGTACCTGGCCCGGGGTGATGAGAACAGGTGGATAGCGGCTCAGAGTGTGAAATCCCAATACAGGAGGTGGCTGGGGTATGGGCTCTGCAGTGGCTGGTTTGCACACAAAAGGCACCTTTGGGGCCAGTCATTTACTATCTCTAGGAATTAGCTGGTCCTGGTAGAGGCAGTCCCTCTAGGGTCAGCAAAGCCCCAGATGTCAAAGCATCAGAAAATAAAAGACATGGTTACTACATCACAGCAGCCTTTTCTATAGGGTGACACTACCCCCAAGGGACAGGCACTGTCCCTTCCTCTTGCACAGTGGGGACTCTGAAGCCTGGACAGCCTCCATAGCTCCGGTCTCCTCTCGGTTGGAGATGCACCAGGCCCCTGCCACCCACCCACTCCAGAGTGAAAGATGACACTCCTCCCTCTAGGCCCCAGTCACTGGCCATGACAGCTCTCTTCCTTGGGGCAGTTACCTCGCAGGGTACTCCTCAGAGCTTGATCTACCCCACAAGGTCACCAGACCCTCTCGGGCACGGTCGGTCAGCACTGGACAACCCACGGGCTCACACCAGGCTCACCGTGGCTCGCAGAGTTCATGCTGCTTAAAGTAGCCGCATATCACAAACATTTCCCATGTTACTAAGAACTCATAAGCATCGTTATTATTTGCATAATCATCACTTATGGGTATGTCCTCAATCCCTGCTGGTAGATATTGGAGGGGAGGGGATAGGGGACGGGTCCTAACGCTTGCCCGCCCCTTCCCTAATGCTGCGCAAGCTCACACACAGTGGCAGCAGGAGACATTAACAAGCAGGTGCCTGACAGCCACACAGCCCGGCTCCCCTCCCAAGGCTGGGTGTCAGCCCAGAAACCGTGTCCTGGAGCTCGGCAGAATGGGCAGGAGCACAAAGCTAGTTTTGTGTCCTGTTTTCTTCCATGGGGATGACGTCATGTTCTCTGAACCAATATCCCAGTGTCCTTGGGCAAATATTACTCTCAGGAAGACCATGTATTTTGTTACCTTCTTTGTGTCCTTTCGTACAGCCCAGCACAGTGTGAAGCAGGCACAAGCTGCATCCCATTGAAGGAAGCCTGTATTTTACAGGTAGGTAAACTGAGGTAACAGAAATAAACTCAGCCTAGTGGGAGTCCAGCAGAGCACCCACTGAGATCCGCACACCCTTGTCATCCTCGGTTCACTCCAGGGTGAGGAGACCTCAGCCCTCAACGGCCCCTGACCTATTTCAAAGGGGATTGAGGCAGGGCCACCGGGATGCGTTTGTGAGGAGGAGTTAAGGAGATGTAAGATGCTCGTTGGATGTGTGAATGAACAAGGCGCGAGAACTTCTGCTTGCTAAATCCTACAAATAATTTCTAGCAAAATTCAAATTCATATCGTGGGCAGTTACTGTGGAAAGGGGAAGGAAGAAAGAAGGAAGAGAGATTCAGAGTGAGCAAAAGGACCCTGATCGGATGCAGAGTGTGGGGCGAGCTGGAGAGGCCGGGGCAGGCAGTCCTGCGAGGAAGGTGGGGAGACTGACTGCGACCTCCTGTCCCAGCCTGCGAGCGCTTGCTGGCCAGTTGGTAATTATTCAAAGTTCTTCTATTGCTCTTTGTCATCTGGAAATCCAAAGGCCATCAAAGGTGATCCAAAAGGGGATGGCCTCGGCTGGCCCCAGGGAAGAAGCTGGCTTTGGAGCAGGAGGTAGCCGAGCCAGCCAGGACCAGTTCTGAGGTACAAGTGGATCAGGATCCTCGGTCCTGGAGGGCTCAGAATCACCTTGAACCTTCTGAAATCCCAGTGCCAGGGTCTCCCACAGACCTGCTGAGTTAAGAATTCTGCATTGCATTTGTGTGAAGTGCCATAGGGAATTCTGATCCAGACCCCACTAGAGACTCACTATTCTCCCCTGTAACAGAAATACTCCTCCAGCCCAGGGCCTTCCCCTGGAGAAAGGCCGTCCCGCGCCAGCTCTTTCTCACTCGGGCCGTCTCATCTCCCTCCTGTCTCCCTCTGACTTCAAGTCCTAGTTCCTCTTTCAAAGTGACCTCCCAGCCCCAGCTCAGCATATTTTTCCTCACATTATTAGTAATTTCAAAGCTGAGGTGTTGGAATTACACCGCTTGGGCCTTCCCTCTATTCCCTGCCTCCTGCTCCTGCAGCCGTACATCCTGCACCTCCACGCAGGCCCTCGCCACGCGCCCAAGACCTTGTCCAGGAATAGATTATCCTAACACCCAGCAAAGCACGTGAGCCTCCCAGGGGGTGATTTGGGGGTTTGGAAAGTCTACCATAGGCATTGAGTAGAGGCTGTAAAAAGCCCTACACAAACACAACTGTGAAAACATGACAATACCTGGTGTTGGACTAGTTCTCTCCAACCGTGAGACCTTCTCACGTGATCATCTCGAAGATCCAGATGTGGTCATGGAAAAGGCAGGGACGTGGAGTCCAAGACAGGCCATTCAACCTCTCCCAGCCTCCATCTCCAGTCTTGAAATGGCCCGGAAACAAGGCCTAATTCAAGTTTTACTGTGGGGCCTAAAGGCTTCCAGCTACTGAGCTCTAGGAACGTACTAGTGACCGTCTCAGCTGAGAGGGCCCCCCTCCCAGGGCGCGGTCAGGGTGCTCCCGTTATTTCAGGCCGACTTAGTGGTGCTCCCTCGAGGCTGCAGAACCAGAGAGACGGTTACTCTCTCATCCATGACCACGAGAAGCTGGGACAGAGAAGGCAGCCGGGGCCCGGCCATGACCTTATAGAAACCAGGCCTGAGGAGAGAAATACAGAGACCACCAGCAGATCCCACGGGGCGCCCAGGCCACCTAGCGAGGCAGCAGAGGAAGGCTGATGCCAAGAGGAAGGAAGAAATCGAAAGAGCTTCCGGGCCGCATTCCACCCCTCGCAGGGCGGTCTGGTGAGGCTGGCATCTGCGATGACGGAGAGTGTTCACAGACACTGATGGCTTCCTGCTGACGTCACACGGATAAGGGCCAGGATAGACCCTACTGTCCTCATCTGTCATTTCCCTACTCGCCATGGGCAAATGATCTAGCACATAGTAGATGCATTGAGTAAACGAACGAACGGTCAATAAGCAAAGGTGTCACCAAGAAAACGTCTCTTCCCTCTCCCTCCCCCAGTTACACAAAACCTGACAGTAAATTTGATGTGGGCCCAGAAATAGAACAGGTAGTATATGTAGTATTTTTAACCTGCTGAGGGCTCTGTGGTTTCCCAACACGTCTGTTTAGATATTTATTTTTCCTCCGACAAAGCACTCCTTGGCCACACGCTGGGCTCTGCCTTGACTGAACGTTGCTCCGGCCGGTGGTACCCACGGACCCACCTCTTCCAAACACCCTGTCTGTGCAGCGGCTCCTCCCGGGCGCTCCCTCACACGGACCCCCCCCATCCCCGCTGTGTCCTCACCGCAGGGGAGCCTTCGGCTGGTGCTGGGTGAGTGTGGGCAGTGGACGGGGGTGATTCTTACTGCAAAAGGGAAGGCAGACGTTGAAAATGACAGAAGCCTTTCCTGGCACTGTCCCCATGCCATTTTTCTGTATCTCACAAGGAAATTCTCATCTAATCCAAATTCTACCAAAATATACAAGGGCTGATGAAATAGGAGTCAGCCATAGTAGGTCCCAGAGCTAACTATTAAATGATGAAAAGACATTAAGTTAAATCAAAATTCAAATTAAAAAGATGAAGACTCAGGGCTTTTGGTTTTGGGGGAGGGGTTGCTTTGTTTTGCTTTGTTTTTCATGAGACAGGGGCTCACTGTGTCGCCCAGGCTGGAGTGGAGTAGCAAGACCATAGCTCGTAGCAACCTCAAACTCCTGGGCTCAAGTGATCCTCCTGCCTCAGCCTCCCATTAACTGGGACTACAAGTGTGCACCATGACACCCAGCTAACGTGTGTGTGTGTGTGTGTGTGTGTGTGTGTGTGTGTATATGTATATATATATTTTTTTAATAGAGATGAGGTCTTGCTATGCCCAGGCTGGTCTCAAACTCCTGGCCTCAAAGAATCCTCCCGCCTTAGACTCCCAAAGTGCTAGGATTACAGGTGTGAGCCAACCTCGCCCAGCCTAAGAGTTGTTTCTGTTTGTTTGTTTGAGGGGACAAAAGAACCTCATGAAAGGATTCTAAGCAACAAGTTAGAAGACCTGGAGTCTAAAATAAGCTGAGGGCACACAGTAAGCTGGTAACGGCACATCACGTTGCAGGCCTCGGCCTTCTACAGGTCACAGAGCCCTTGAGAGTGACCTGCTGAGACGACAGGTTGGGCTCCTGGGGCAAGTGCACGTCGACACCTGCTAGGTCTTGCATGTGACTTTTTCGTCGCATTGGCAATTGGTCCAGTCCTCTAGACAGGAGGTAAACCAAACTAGAGAATGTAACAGGATGTCACATGAGGACTTCCCCGGTTGTGTCAGGATCTTTGCTAAAAAGAGCACTTAACGAGCACCTGCGCATTCTAATGGAAGGTGCTTGAAATAACTGCACAAGGTTCTAAAAGATGACCAAATACCAGTTCTTTGAATTTTGGCCACTCACCCACCTCTAGGCTACATTAGGGGAAAATGAGCTCACGAAAGGGGGGTGAAGATGTCTACAAGGAGAGTCGGAGTGTTGGGTATTAACACATCCCTCCTGCTTTGGGAGGGTCGGAGGCATCCTTCTCCCCACCCCCATCAAGCCAAGCGGGGGAGCCCAAAAAGACCCAGCCCCAGAACACAGGGAGTCAAGGCTGCCCTCTCACCTGAGGACCTAGCTCATGGGCCACACCAGGAGAGAAAATGGGAGGGAGACTCAAGGTCACCCAGGTGAAACAGAGGAAGGAAAGCCACTCAGTGGAGCCCTGAGAGTGCGGGGCCAGCGGCTGCCAGCTGCTGCATCCCGTCCACTTCTCAAGGCCCAGCTCCGCTCCCCACCCCGGAAGCCTCCTGCAGCTGCCACTCCAGCAGTGATCTCCCGAGCCCTCCCCAGCTGTTCTCTGCCCTCTAACACTGCCCAGGCATCATGGCAGCACCTGGGTTATAAACTTATAACCCAGCGCCACCTGGGTTATAAGCCGGCCCTGCATCTTGCATCTCATGCACCCCAGCCCGGCCCTGACAACAGGCGTGTGTCTCCCCTCTTCCCCCAGCGCCTGGCCTGAAACAACACATGAAACAACTCACGAGTGATTCAGAAAAGTTGTGAGACAGCTAGTTAGGTACAATTTTGCAGGGCGTTTGTCTAAATACAGTCCTCGACCGCCCCTAATTCTCCTTACTTTTCCAACAGAGCCCTGGAAGATACAAGATGCCCATCTTTCTCAAACATATTGTCCCCAGGCTGGGTCACCCAACAGAAAGGCTGAGGACATGTTTAGGGCAATAGCATCACCCCAATGCTTTTTCATTTTTTTCTTTTTTTTTTTTTTTAGGATTTGGATGATCTACACAGGCATCATGAGAAAAAGCTCTGATTTCATCGGACTTTTCTTAAACATATGGCTTAGTGTTGCATCTATCTTTAGTTGCATGTGGGTGACTGAGGTGGGGTGTGACAGATCCTCTCGTGCTTAAGGTTCCCACCCCACTGGCGCCAACCCCGCACCTTCCAAGAGTCACGAGAAGCCACCTGCGGCTCTTCCTGCGCAGGTCTGCCCCGAGCTGCACGCACCACACTTACTCCATCCTCGGGTCAGGGAAGGGAGGCCCAGAGAGCTTTAGGGACCCGAGCCCAGAGACGGTGAGGTGGCTGAAACCTCCATGGAGGGGCGGGGACATACACCAGGGCCTGGGCAGACCTGGTGCGTGAGACTTTACCACGCTGCGGGGCTCAGGGAGAGCCGGTTGTTGCCATCGCCCAGCACACCACAAGAGCTCAGATTCCCGGGCCTGGAGCCCGCTTGCCTGTGAGGGCTGGAGCAACTTGCTTCACTTCTCTGGGGTTCCATTCCTTAGCTGTGAAGCACAGCTAACAACGCCTCCCTGGACTAATTCAAGTCAGAACTTTGATTGGGTTTAAATGAAATGTAGGAGAAAACACTGGACAACTCACCTAAGAATCTAGAATGTTCCCTTGGGTCTTTATCGAGGTGATGCCGTCAGCCCTGACGGGGCTCTGGGTCCCCTCCTGGCACAGAAACAGGAAAGTGAGGCTGAGGCGTCTCAACACTGGGGACTGGCAGGGCCAGAGAGTGCTGGCCAGCAGCCAGGGGACGCTGACCAACAGCAGCCGCCCCGTGCTCGGCAGCGGGGCCTTCCAAGCTGCTAACGGGTGTTGTGTGTGCAGAGACCAGCGCCTCAGTCCTGCGCACCCGCGTGGAGCCTGGGCGGGTCCTGTGAATGCCTCCTTGGCTGAGCAGCCTCATCCTCTTGTAAATAATGCCATTTTCCATGGGAGCCATGGGAGGCAACGAAAACTGAAAGACAACAGAATAAGAGGAGAGTCAGAGTGGCTGGGCAGAGGCCAGAACCCGAAAACACAGCAGAAACTCAGGGCCTGAGGTTGGCATTCTGCGAGATGCAGAGGACCTGGGCCAAGGAAGGACAGTCCCCATAGTCACAGCGCAAATAGGCAGCTTAGGAAAATTTATACTCTCCTCCCCACCAAAGGTCCTCATTCTCTCACCAACCAGGAGATGCCCAAATAAAAATGTTATTATTTGAAATGGGCAAAGAATGCTTTCTCATTTTTACATGCACATTGTTATAAATGAAGCATCTTTTTTAAAAAAATTGATGTGTCATTGTGCTACTACAGGGGTTGGTGATCTTTTTTTGTAAAGGAGCAATCCTTTTTCTGTAAAGGATCGTAAATATTTTAGGCTATTGCAGATCTACATTCTCTGCTGCCACTACTTGAATCTGCTGCTACAATGTGAAAGCCATAGACAATAAGTAAATGAATGGTCACAGCAATGTTCTAATAAAACTTTATTTGCAAAAACACATGGAGGGCCAGATTTGGCCCACTGGTCAGAGTTTGTCACCTCCATGCTCTAAAATATAGTACTTAAAGCAATCGGTATATTTGCTCTGCAAATACAACTACAGGATAATTCCCCTTTCAACCAGACTCCTGCCTCTAAGCCCCCTTTATATAAAAACTCTGGGGCTACTCCTGGACCTACAGAACACTGCCAATACTAGCTGAGGCCTTCTGCACACTAACTCAGGGTGCCTGCCTGGCCAGGGCAGGAGGAGCCAGAAATTCCTAAATTCCTGTGTTAGTCCTAAACACAGCCAAAGAGCAGAAAGGAGGTCGGCACTCTTGGCTACTCCTATAGGAAATTGGTTTTCTGGTCTTTCTCCAGAGAACTGCACAGATAATAAACAGATCAATGCCAAGTAAATCACGAAGGACAAGCCGGCTCTGTCCAGTGGAAGAGCTGACAACACACACGTCCGGACTGGGAAACACTGTCTGCTGCTTTCTTCTTGCTGCCAGGCAGTGAGGGGAGAAGCAGGATGGGGCCATCGGGACCTTCACGTGCCAGGAGGGCCGGACTGCACTCAACAGAGGAGAAGACGTGGGGCTGAAAACACAGCTGGAAGGGTTTAGTCTCGGGACGCTGGATTTCTGGGAAAGGCCTCTACAATCTCGTTTCTTTGTGATTTTCAAGAAAAGATGTTTTCATTGCTTCGAATGAGAGATGGAGACAAGAATTCCTGAAGAACTAGAAGGATGAGACTTCTTACAGTTTCTCCCAGCGCTATTGTGATGGTCATCATGGCCTAATGAAGGTTATTTTTCTAATGTATTAAGTTTTCTAAGTGCCAGGCAGGTACTAAATGTATACTCTCCACTTTATTTATTTTGAGACAAGTTGTCACTCTGTTGCCCGTGCTGGAGTGCAGTGGCATCATCATAGCTCACTGCAACCCCAAACTCCTGTACTCAAGCCAGCCTCCTGCCTCAGCCTCCCCAGTAGCTGGCACTATAGCCATGCATCACCACGCTCTGGCTAAGTTTTCTTTTTTTTGTTGCGAAGGGGTCTCTCTCTTGCTCAGGCTGGTCTCAAACTCCCGAACCTCAAGCAATCCTCCTGCCTCAACCTCAAAGTGCTAGGGTTATAGGTGTGAATCACTGCTCCCCGCCCAATCTCCACTTTAAATAGAGAAGGAAGCAAAGATCTGAGTTAGCTCATCCAAAATCTCACAGTAAGTTGAAGACCTGGAGTTTGAACTGAGATAAACAGAATCCACAGGGTGTGTGTATGTATATATATATATGTGTGTTTGTGTGTTTATATTACGTGTGTGTGTGTGTGTGTGGACAGAGAGAAAGAGAAAGAATTTATTTTTAAAAATGGGCTCCCATGATTGAGGGGCCAGGTAAATCTACAATCTGCAAGATCCAAAGGCCATCTGCTGTCACGATTCCTTCTTCCTCTGGAAACTTCAGCCTTTTTCTCTTAATGTGCTTAG